AAGAACTCAAGTTTTTTCAATCATATACTGAAAGCCAAGGTCATCACTTTCCTAGATACCCACTTGTTAGCTTGAATCTCAGAGGGGAATATCTTCTGATCTAGCCCCTGTATTCTCTCTTTTCCTCTGCATGAAATATTCCTCTTAGAAAAATTCTGATATTTCAGTTATAATGTTTGTTCCCTTAGGAAGCATGCCCCCAAAGGCAAAAACTAAAAACTTCAAAAAAATAAATAAATAGCCAGGCACCGATTGCTCACACCTGTAATCCTAGCTACTCAGGATGCTGAGATCTGAGGATCGTAGTTGAAAGCCAGCCTGGGCAGGAAAGTCCATGGGACTCTTATCTCCAATTAACCACCAGAAAAGCAGAAGTGGCACTGTAGAGCGCTTGCCTTGAGCTAAAGAGCTCAGGGACAGTGCATAGGCCCAGAGTTCAAGCCCCACGACTGACCTAAATAAATAAACAGACCCCTTAAGCTGTGTCTCTCTTAAGACTCTGTTCCTCCCCCACACTGCACTTTCTCTGAGTAAAGGAACTATCATTTTTATTAACACTCAGCAAAAATGATTGGCATTTAATCATGAACGAATGAATGAATGAATAGATGCATCCGTCATTCAGTTCTGGCTAGAATTTCAGAAATGAACTATTTGGAATTTGTAGTCCTTTCTGCACCAGCAACAAATGTCTTTCTCTGCTTTTTTTTTTTTCCAGAGCTAAGTGAAGCCCAACAGAAGCTTCTAATAAAATCCACAGAGAAAAAGATCCTACCAGTGCAGCTGAAGCTGGTGAGGGGTGAGGGGGGGAGAGGACAAGTTTGGGAGGAAGTGGCTGGAACCAATGGGAAGATGCAGATTTAGCCTGATGGCAGAAGCATCCTGAAGGGATCCTAGGGAGTTGGTGCCCAATTCTCTATTCTCTATTTCTTTCCTTTTATTATCTTGTTACATTAGGCTCTGATGGCTCATTCCTAGATTACTAGATGACCCAGGAGGCTGAGATCTCAGGATCAAAATTTGACCCTCAGCCTGGGCTTATCTCCAATTAACCAGCAAAAAAAAAAACAGAAGTGGAGAGGTGACATAAGTAATAGTACATCAACCTTGAGCAAAAAAAAAAAAAAAAAAAAAGCTAAGGAAAAATTTGAAGCCCTGAGTTTAAGCCCCAGTACCACTCACTCCCCACCCTCAATTTTAAAAAAAGGCAAATGGATAAATTTCTACTCATGATATGAATCTATCAGCCTTTTCTTGTGAGGAAAAAAAATTCTGGGTCTACTTATTGCTAATCAAGTGATATGAGCAAATATTTAATGTCTCTGAATCTGTTTATTCTTCTGTAAAATGGGGCTCCAAAAAAATGCAGTGCCCACTATAAAACCCAAATGGAGTGTAATGTAAGAAAAAGAGCTATAAGGGAAATGCAGCCCTTCGTGGTGATTTGTATGACTAGAAGGGAAGGAGAGAGCTTACCAGATCTTCTCAAATTTTATGCTGTGGTTGGTTCCTTACAGGTGGAGAGCACAATGGAACAGAATTTCCTCCAAGATAAAGAAGGAGTCTTCCCCCTGAGACCTGACCTGTTGTCCTCCCTTGGGGATGAGGAACTGACCCTCACGGAAGCTCTAGTGGGGCTGAGTGGCCTGGAAGTTCAGAGATCAGGTCCCCAGTACATGTGGGACCCAGATACCCTCCCTCGCCTCTGCGCCCTTTATGCTGGCCTCTCCCTCTTTCAGCTGCTGACTAAGGCCTCCTAAGATGCCTTTTCTGCCTACTTCCTGCTTTCTAGACCTTCTCAGTCTCAGTGTGCCATGTTCTTAACATCACGTTGCAGAGCCACCAGGTTAGGGCTGAAATCCTACCCTGTCACCCATGAAAACCAAACCCACCTACCCCACAACCTGTCTCCCTCCATGAGCCTTCTACTACCACAACCCACCTCCATAAACCCATCTGCTGATGCCTAAATCCTGTAGAGTTGGAAACACTCAAACCTTAAAAACTTTGAGCCATTTCAACAACAACAAAAAAATTAATTCCTATCCCAATTCTTTGTACTTCCAAAAAATAAATTTTGCTGGAATTAAGGGGAACTAGTAGATTGACATCTCAGTATTGAATGTCTTTTGTGTGTTTCTTTCAAGAATTTATCATAAGGCTATAGCTGCCAGTAGCTCATGCCCCTAATTCTAGATACATAGGAGGCTGAGATCTGAGGACCACAGTTTAGTACTAGCCTGGGCAGATAAAAAAAAAATCTTCAAGACTCTTATCATCCATTAGCAAAAAACTAGACATGGAGAAGGAAATAAAATGTTAAGAGTTTCAGCTGGTATTGAAAAAGAATAACAGAGTTGGAGGTCCTGAGTTCAAGCCAATACCAACACACAAAAAGGAATTTAGCATAAGGAAATTATTATTTTGAGACAGTATACATTCTACTACCTGTGCACTGTCCTCAGGGCAGCTGGAAAATGCTTAGAGCACTACGAGGGTACAGAATCCAGATTCTAAAGTGAGAAGAACATCAAAGCAGCTTATCTACAAAGCACAGCATTTGGGGCTAGAGGTGTGACCCAGATGGTGGCCTGCCTAACATAAATTCAAATACTAATACTGAGGGAAAAAAGTAGAGCAAAGAGCATTTGTGGGCTTAGGATTGGGGACAGGAGGTGGGGCAGATCTAGAAATACAGAAGTCTAAAACAAAGATAACAAATCTCAAATTTGTCAAATTGAAAGACAGGTTTCCATGGTTCACACTTGTAATCCTACTCTGAGTCTGAGATCTGAAGATTGAGGTTCAAGGCCAGCCCCAGGCAGGAAAATAAGTGAGACTCTGATCTCCAAATAGCCACCAAAAAGGAAGTGGAACTGTGGCTCAGGTGGTAGAATACTAGCCTTGAATTTTTACTGAAGCTCAGTGATAGCACACAAGCCCTGAGTTTAAGTACCAGAACTGGCACACAATTGAAAATGCAAAAACAAAATTCAAAATTCTAAAGATAGTATTTTTTTTTACCTTTTCTCTTCTTTTATCTTCTACCTTCACTTGAGGGTGGTTTGGGAGAGAATGGTGTGTACAGAATTTGCCTATGCACCTGCTAATATGTCTATTGTGATTTCATCAAACTGTTCCTGTTTAGTTGGATTTGAATATCTTTTACTATTCTCCTTTCAAAGTACTTTTATGGGTAGAATAATTTCTCCAAAGCTTCAGGCCCTAGGAGTCAAGCTCTCCCCCTTCTTATGCCCTCTACCCACCCCCAGCTAGTTTTCTCATTTACCAAGAATTCATGACCAAACTGCAAAAAGCTTTGTGTTAAACCATCCTCCCCCATATTCTGGGCTACTTCCAAAGCCTTACTATATTGCTCATAAACATACAGGGTTGTTATCTGCTGACTTGATTGTTTTTCTTAATAGAGAGATGAGCTAACCGCCTAACTATGCAGAAGTGTTATATTTTTTTATTATAAAGATGAACAACAAAACTGGTCTGACTTCTGCCTTTCCATTGCTCATCCACCTCAGTTACAGATACAGTGTTTATAAAGAAACGTTTCCATAGTTTATTCCATTAATGATTCAAAAGTTCTGTTATCCAACCTCCAGCTGTGGGGGTGAAGGGGTGAGAGTACAATTAGGGAGGACTAAGTCTAGGCATGTTCCCTAAAACTGGGACACACTTTTCTTTTCCCCATTTGGCAAGTGGCTGTTTAAGGCAAGTAATTGCTTGCAAAAACAGTATGAAAACAAGAATACAAGGTACACATAGACCATCCTCTGTGTATGTCCGTGTATACTTACACCATTAGGCACAGCATTATTCTGTTCCCCATTTTACAAGTGTCTGTCTGGATATATAAAGCCCCTCTTTGCCAGCACAATACACAGCAGCTCTGAGCAGAATGCTCTCTTCTCTATAGACACAGCCATACATTACTTTTTTTTTTTTTTTTTGTCGGTCTTGAGGCTTGAACTCAGGGCCTGGGCACTGTCCCTCAGCTCTTCAGCTCAAGGTTAGCACTCTACCACTTGAGCCACAGCGCCACTTCCAGCTTTTTCTATTTATGTGGTGCTGAGGAATCAAACCCAGGGCCTCATGCATGCGAGGCAAGCACTGTACCACGGAGCCACCTTCCCAGCCCCCATACATTACATTTTAAGCTGCGTTGTTCAACAGCCCACCATGGGCTAGCCCTAGTCCGGTCACAGAGTGGATCTTTCATCATCATCATCAATCATCATCATCATCATCACCGCCAGTAACAGGACTATCCCTGAACTCAAAGGTAGTGCTCTACCCCTTGTGCCACAGCGCCACTTCCGCATTTTTGGTGTTTAATTGGATCTAAGGGTCTTACGGACTTTCCTGACCTGGCTGGCTTCAATCCGCGATCCTCGGATCTCGGCCTCCTGAGTAGCTAGGATTCCAAGCGCACCTCTACAGTCCCAGGCTGCAGAGCTTTTACACCCTTTTCAGCACTAAAACAAAACCTGACCAGGAAATCTGGCTCCCATAGGGTTCTCCCTACTCTCGAATTCCGTTTATCTTAAGCCCAACAGTTAGCTCCTCTACGTCGCATCTTCTCTCGCGCTGGAGGCTCCCGATGGCAGTTGAGCTGAGCGAAATTGATTGTTGTCGAAGGAGACTCAGCCAGAGTCAAACTGGACCAACCAGGGCTCAAAATCCGCCTGGCAACCCGTGACGATATATCTACTCGTTCTCTGATAGGTCCACCTCACCGGCGCTCTTAGAAAGTCTTTAATAGCCAACGTTGGATCCTGAGGGGACCTCTTGTGGACATCCCCAGAAATGCACTCCAGAGGAAGATTTTCTTTTTTTAAGTCAACACAATTAAACCCTTCAAAGAAAGCCCCACCAACTTACGCGGACTCCTCCCCTCCCGCTCCTTCCTCGAAGATCCGCCCCCATCCTGCACCTCGGCAGTTGATTTCTCTCCCCTTTGCTAATTCGGCCATCGGCCCTCCAGGCCTGGCATTTCCCAGAAGACCCTGCGCCGGGAAGGGGTTTGCAGCTGCTCCGTCATCGTGCGGCCCGCCGCGAGCCCGCGCTGCTGTGCAGGCCTGTCTTGGTTCCTGGTCCCTAGTGCGAGGGTTCACGCGAGGCCCCGGTCTGGGTCCCCAGACTAGGCCGCGACCCCAGGCGCCATGAAGCAGGAGGGCTCGGCGCGACGCCGAGGCGCCGACAAGGCGAAGCCGCCTCCGGGCGGAGGGGAACAGGAGCCGCCACCCCCTTCAGCCCCTCAGGATGTGGAGATGAAAGAGGAGGCGGCAGCCGGGGGCGGCTCCACCGGGGACGCGGACGGCAAGCCGGCGACGGCGGAGCACTCCCAGCGAGAGCTGGACACCGTCACCCTAGAGGGTAGGGGAGCGGGGGTCGGGACGCGCGGCCCCGCCGGTGACAGTGGCCCGGGGCCACGGCTTCCCTCTGGACCCCGGCGAGGCCTCCATCGGCCCCGGCCCCTAGGATCGGGACCGGTAGTGCCGGTCCCCACCACCCCGACCCCTGGCCACCCCAGCCCGTGGACGACCCTTCCATCGCCTCGTCCTATCAGAGACTGGGGCCTCCCCGTTCCGAGTCTTCCCTTCCGACCTACTCCATTTCCATCCCACCTGACTGATTTTTAGCGCCTTCTATGTATGACTCTCCCTCTAGAAAGCAACGTGTATGAAGAGGATCAGAGTAATCTCGGCTCATTTCTAAAAGTTTATGGAGGGGGATCTGTTGGCCTAGCTACCTTAGCAAACTGCCCTATCGAGGGCCATTGTCTTTTTTGTTGTTGTTGTTGGTTGGTTGGTTTTCCTTGTCGGTCCTGGGGCTTGAACTCAGGACCTGGGTGCTAGCGCTCTATCACTCTGAACCACAGCGCTACTTCCGGTTTTCTGGTGGAGATAGTCTCGCGGACTTTCCCGCTCCAGATGGCTTTGAACTGGGATCCTCAAGATCTCAGCCTCCTAAGTAGCTAGAAGTACAGGCGTGAGCCACCAGCACCAGCTATCTATCTGCTTGTTGTCTTGCTTCCTGATTTCGCTAGCTGAAAGGCCCAAACGGTCCCCTAGTTCTCTTCCATTCCTATCAGGCCCTTACTCCCTCTCTTGACTGTGATATAATGTTCTGTACTCTGGATCAAGTTTGATCAGACTCCCTACCAGGGTTTTCCTAACTGCAGGAGAAACTACCTCAAAACATTGAGACAAGAAAGGCTATGCCCTCGGATGTTGCTTTTGAGAATGTTACAATGTTAACTACCCTCGCTGCTACTTTAGCTGCTACTCTGAAGTCGGCCAATGTAATCAGTATCTAATGAAGGTTCCTTTTACCTAATATAGCCAGTGACAAAGATGCCACTCAGCATTGTCCACTGTTTAGTTTGTGTTTATTATAGGAGTTTGGGGAAATATGAAAAGTCCAAAGTAACAGTGAGATTCAGCCACGATTAACATCCCCTGCCCCCACCCCCTTTTGGTAGTAGGGTTTGAACTCAAGGCCTCTTACTTTCTAGGCAGGCAATCTCTCTACCACCTTATGCCTCCAGCCCATTTTTTTTTAAGTTACTTTTGGATAGAGACTCATATTTTTTTCCTTCTGGCAGTCTGGACTGTGTTTCTCATTCCTGGACTAATCTTGCATAGCTGGGGTTACAAACATAGGCCACCACATTGGACTTTATTGGTTAAGATGGGAGTCTTAACTTTTTGCCTGGACTGTCCTCAATCTATAATCCTCCTGTTCTCTGCCTTCTTGACTACTGGGGAGCTGGGATTACAGATGTGAGACACTGTAAGTCGGGGGCTTGAGCTTAGCTTTTTTACTCAAGGCTAGAGCTGGCTAGGATTTTTCCTTCCATAATCGAGATTGTTATAGAGAGAGTTTGGGTCAAGGTATAACTTTTTTAAATATAAATGATTTTGTATTTTGTCTTTTTTACTTTTAACATCTGAACATTTAGTTTGTTTCATGAACTTTTTTTTTTTTTTTTTTTTTTTGCCAGTTCTCGAGCTTGAACTCAGAACCTGGGCACTGACCCTGAGCTTCTTTTGCTCAAAGCACGCTACCATTTGAGCCACAGCACCACTTCTGGCCTTTTCTGTTTATATGGTACTGAAGAATCAAACCCAGGGTTTCATGCATGGCAAGCACTACCACTAAGCCATATTCCCAGCCATCCATAAATATTTGTTGGATAGTAAACATAACATTTGTTAAAAGCACATGTCTGGAATTAACTTCCCCATGTGTATGAGAGTAATAGTACCTCTTTTATTGTTACAAACATTAAAATGCTTACAACTATGCCTGGTATTTGATAAATGCATAGCAAGCCCTCCATAAATATTAGATGTTATTATTTATAATCATTAATGCGTCTCAGGCACCCTGGGCTAAGTGGAAAATATACAAAGGGGACTAAGAAACTACAAATTGATTGTGTGTGTGTATACATGTATATGTATGTTCCCTTATTGCTACACGTTAAAATACTTCTAGTTTCTTGCTGTATTAACTTTCTAGTCATTTTTGCTCAAGTTTTTTAAATCTGCTTGTATAAGTTTTTCTTAAGTATAGGTTCTCAGAATCTATTTGCCTGAGTCAAAGAGGGTGAACATATATCTCCCCCCAACCCCTTCTCCGGACCCAACCTCAGTGCCTTGTGGGCTTGCTTGCCCATGGCGGGAGTTCTACCACTTGATCATGCCTCTAGTCCAGCGTTTTGTTGATTACTAGGAGATGGAATCTTAAGGCTTTCTTGGGCTGGCTTTGAATTTTTATCCTCCAGGTTTCAGCCTCTAGGTGTGAACATTCTAAAAAGGGGGGGTATGGGATAGGGTGTATGCCGGTATTAGAGCTTGACCTCGGGGCTTGAGCTTAGCTTTTTTACTCAAGGCTGGAGCTCTACACTTGAATCACGCCTCTACTTCCAGCTTGCTGGTTAATTGGAGATAAGAGTCAAAATTGTCGGCTTGTTCTGGCTTTCTAACCTCCATCTTTAGATCCCAGTTTCCTGAGTAGCTAGGAATACAAGCATAAGCCACCAGCACCAGTTTGAACATTTCTAGTTTTTTATACATATTGTTCAGAAAATCTGATTTATATTATAGTAAAAGAAATACCTTTTTTACTATACTGCCTATATTTTCATCTTTAAAATGGTACTAATTTTAGTAATACAAAAACATTTAGACTTAAAGTTATTCAGATTTTAATGAAGTCTACTCTTTATGTCTCTTAGTTATTTGTTACTGGTTATGTCTGTTTGTAGCAGTAGATTTTCTTTTCTTTTTTTTTTTTTTTGTCGGTTATGGAGCTTGAACTCTGGGCCTGAGCATAGTCACTCAGCTCTTCAGCTCAAGATGAGCGCTCTACCACTTGAGCCACAGCATCACTTCCACTTTTCTTTTCTAGTGATTTATTGGAGATAAGAGTCTCATGGACTTTCCAGCCCAGGCTGGTTTTGAACTGCAATCCTCAGATCTCAGCCTCCTGAGTAGCTAGGATTACAGGTGTGAACCCCCAGTGCCCAGCTAGATTTTCTTTTAATCATTTATATAAGCTCTTTGTAGAATAAAAACAGGAAGAATATCTGGTCACAAATATTTTGTTTAGACTTATAAAAACAGTCATTAGTTTGTGTCTGAGATTTATCTCATTGTTTGTTTAGAAAGTGTTTCTTGTTTTGAAATATGACAAGTCTCCATGTGTTTCTTCTACTTTGTTTTGTTTTTGTTTCTTTTCTTTTGTTCCCCTATTCTTTCTGTCACCCTCTATCCCAACCCTAATTGTATTTTTCCTTGTCTCTTCGCTGTGTCTAAAATTCAATGTTCCTACTGCCTTCATAAGTATTATTGACCCTTTTAGGCCAAACGTTGTGAGTCCCCATTCTGACCCTGCATAATAGTCCCCTAGAACTGCTTGGCTGGTGTGGCAGGGAATGGGAGCAACTGGTACAGCATGAGCTTTTCCTTCTCTGGTGGTCTGCAGACATCAAAGAGCACGTGAAACAACTGGAGAAGGCCGTCTCGGGCAAGGAGCCACGATTTGTGCTGAGGGCCCTGCGGATGCTGCCACCCACATCACGCCGCCTCAACCACTATGTCCTTTATAAGGCCGTGCATGGCTTCTTCACCTCAAATAATACCACTCGAGACTTTTTGCTACTCTTTCTAGAAGAGGTGAGTGGGGCTGGCCATTTTATAGGGTGTCTCTTTCCTTCCTGAAAACCTCTCTTCTTACTAGCTATATCAACTCTGCTCTTCTAGCCCATGGACACAGAAGCTGATTTACAGTTCCGTCCACGCACAGGAAAAGCTGCATCAGCACCACTCCTGCCTGAAGTGGAGGCCTATCTCCAGCTTCTCATGGTCATCTTCCTAATGAACAGCAAGCGCTACAAAGAGGTATCCAGGATGCTGTGATATCAACTAAGTCTCAAGCAGTGTGAGGACTTTGTGAGGGAGACAGGCCTAGTAAAGAAGAGCTGTCCCCCAGCCTAGGCATAGTAACACACATCTATCATCCCAGCATTCAGGAGGCTAAGGCAGGAGGATTGTAAGTTTGAGGCCAGCCTGAGCTACATAGCAAGACCCTGTCTCTAAAGGTGGGGAAACTATCCCCCAGACTCTTTTCCTCCTGTATTCCTACATGCTTATGTGTTTGACCTACATCTAATACCATGGGAAAGGCCTGGCAATGTCATTCTGTCCTGTCTGTGGCACAATCAATATAACGGATTCTTTAAGAAACATAAGGAGCTTAGAGACAGAAACACGGGGTTTTAATCCGGTCCCTTAGGCAAACTAATTTCTATTAGTTACATGTAAAAAAAGTAGTTACATGTAAATAAAACCTTAGAAGATTGTTAGTACTACATAAAATATTGTTTTTAAAAATATGTAGCAGCTGGCCATGGTAGTACATGCTTGTAATCCCAGCACTCGACAGGCTAAGGTAGGAGGATTTTCAATTCAAGGCTAGCCTGGAATACATAGCAAGAGCTTATCTCAAGAAAACAAATATAGGGGCTGGGAAGGTGGCTCAGTGGTAGAATGCTTGCCTTGCATGCATGAGGTCCTGGGTTCAATTCCTCAGTACCACATAAGCAGAAAAAGCCAGAAATGGAGCTATGGCTCAAGTGGTAGAGCGCTAGCCTTGAGCTGAAGAGCTGAGGGACATGGGGCTGGGAAGGTGGCTCAGTGGTAGAGCGCTTGCCTTGCATGCTTGAGGCCCTGGGTTCGATTCCTCAGCACCACATAAGCAGAATTTTAAAAAAAGCCGGAAGTGGTGCTGTGGCTCAAGTGGTAGAGTGCTAGCCTTGAACTGAAGAGCTGAGGGACAGCACCCAAGCTCAGAGTTCAGGCCCCATGACCGACAAAAAAGAAAGAAGAAAACAAATTTAGCCAGGCACCAGTGGCTCACACCTGTAATCCCAACTACTCAGGAAGCTGAGATCTGACTGAGGATCATGGTTCAAAAACCAGCCTGGGCAGGTGAGATTCTTTATCTCCAATTAATTACCAGAAAAGCAGAAGTGGTGCTGTGACTCAAGTGGTAGAACGCTCACTCACCTTGAGCTGAAGAGCTCAGGGACAGCTCCCAGGCCCAGAGTTCAAGCCCTGTGACCAAAAAAAAAAAGGAAAATATAAGCCAGGCACTAGTGGTTCATGCCTGTAATCCTAACTACTCAAGAGGCTGAGATCTGAGGATTGTAGTTTGAAGCCAGTCCAGGCAGGAAAGTCCATGACACTCTTCTCTCCAAGTAATCACAGAAAAAGCCAGAAGTGGCACTGTGGCTCAAGTGGTAGAGCACCAGCCTGGAGCAAAAGGAACCCAGGGACAGCGCCCAGGCCCAGAGTTCAAGCCCCACAACCAGCCAAAAATAAAAATAATTAAAGAGAAAATAAATATACTGTGCACAGCAGAGTAGGCTTCACAGTACTTTTTAATAAACGTCAGCTACTTCTATGATACCAAATAGCTCCATCTTGTAGATTTCCTATTTTTCTTGTATATGTGTATGTGTAGTACTAGGATTGACCCTAGGAGCCTCATACTTACTAAACAAGCAATTCACTACTGAACCATACTCACTCTTGGCCCCCCTGCCCTCAAAGAACAGATTCAGACCAAACACATGCTGAGCATTGCTAATCCAAAACTGGAACTTTGGTACATCAGCATGTTGGCACAACAGGAGAGTTTCACATCAGAACCCAAGTAACAGGTTCCAGTCAATACTCTAATATTACTGTGTAAAACTACCTCAGAGTCCGAGGTGTATCCCAAAGATAGTAAATCTAGGGGTAGAGGGAAAGAGTCCTAAATCCAAAACATTTCTAGTCCCAAGTATTTCCATTAAGGGACAAGGGGACTTCTACCATTTCTCCAGTTTAGACTAGCTTCCTTATCCTGTCACAATCTCGTAGAAGAGGACAGGCAAGAAATGACAGTGCCCCTCCTCAGATCCGTTTCCTTTTTTTCCTTTCCTCCCCACTGTTTTGTTGGCTTGTTTTGGGGAAGAGTACAGCTCAGCAGTTTGTACTCCACAGAACGTATAGCCATCACTACCAATTCTAGGGTATTTTCTTTTCTTTTTTTTTTTTTTTGCCAGTCATGGGGCCTGAACTCTGGGTCTGGGCGCCGTCCCTCAGCTCTTCAGCTCAAGGCTAGCGCTCTACCACTGGAGCCACAGCGTCACTTCCGGCTTTTTCTGTTTATGTGGTGCTGAGGAATCGAACCCAGGGTATGCTCATGCTTGCAAGGCATGCACTCTACCACTGAGCTACCTTCCCAGCCCAATTCTAGGGTATTTTCATCACCCTAGAAACACCTGCCCATCTCTCCTTCCCCAACTCCCAAAAGCCATTTGTCTGCTTTCAGTATTTAAAACACTTGCCTGTTATGGACATTCATTTTGTATAAATAAAGTTCTACAATAGTGGCCTTCCACTTACATGAATAACATCCCAATGGATGTTCACACTTCGGAGTTTTGGGGGTTTTTGCTTTTGTTTTGTTTTGTTTTGTTTTTTGGTGCCAGTCCTGGTGCTTGAACTTAGGGCCTGGGCACTGTCCCTGGGTCTCTTTTTGCTCAAGGCTAGCACTCTACCACGTGAGCCACAGTGCCACTTGGGGCTTTTTCTGAGTAGTTTATTGGAGACAAGAGTTTCACAGACTTTCTTGCCCAGACTGGCTTCAAACTGTGTTCCTAAGATCTCAATTTCCTGAGTATCTAGGATTACAGACGTGATCCACCAGAACCTGGCTAGTTTCTGTCTTTGGTTGAGACAGGGTCTCCATGTGTACCAGGCTGCCCTTGAACTTAGGATCTCCTGCCTCAGCCTCTGGGGTGCTGGAATTCCACATGCTCCCATGCCTGGTTGTTCATCTATTCTTCAGCTACCAAGGAACACTGGGGTTGTTTCTACCTCTTGATGATGCAGTTAGGAATGTTTGTGTGTAGACTTTTGTGTGTGCTGGTTCTTTTGCGCTCATTGGCTCATGATAAGTGGGTTTAACCTTTTGAGGAACTGCCACTTGATTCTTTTCATTTTCTCTTCAGGCACAGAAAGTCTCTGATGACCTGATGCAGAAGATCAGTACTCAGAACCGCCGGGCTCTGGACCTTGTGGCTGCAAAGTGTTACTATTATCACGCCCGAGTCTATGAGTTCCTGGACAAGCTGGATGTGGTGCGCAGGTACGGGTGGCTGAGGCCACCCTTGTGACTCATGGGGTCAGAGCTTTGGTCATCACTACCACACAGGTTGAGGAGCTCATACATGGAAGGTATCCAGGAGGTAGTAGGGCAGTGGCCAGCAAGCCCAGAGCTGTGCATGGGATGATGATAAAGAAATGGAGGGAATGGCTGGCTGCCAAGAATTGTCCCCCAGTTCTTTCCTTTACCCCACAGTAAGTAAGGACTGAGAGGTGGGCCAAGGTTAGAAAGACAGTCTGGAAATGTTTTTCCTCTGCTTAAACCCAGCAGTTCCTCCCTATTTCCCTCAAGGAAAAGCCTAAGCCCTCACAGTTTATAAGGCCTGACATGAGCTGCCTATTCCTACCTTCCACCTCAACTCTTTCTGCTCTCCAGCAGACTCACCTCTCAGCCCCACTGGCCTCATGCTCCTTCTCAGGTGAGCCAGTTCTCTGCCTCAGAGCCTCTGCTCTGGCTGTCACCAAGGCTAAGAACAAACTCTTCTCCTTCCCTCCTTTAGGCTTTGCTGAAGGCAACCTCAGGGAGTCCTGCAATGAGCAGTTGTTTAAAATAGCTGCCCATTCTGCACCTGTGTCCCACTGCACTTACCCTGCTGGCTTCTTAGTCCACACTACCTTCTGTCAAGCTGTCCATGATATTCTTACTTATTGTGGGTCCTATCTTTCTTCTTTTTTTTTTTTTTTGTCCAGTCGTGGGGCCTGAACTCTGGGCCTGGGCACTGTCCCTCAGCTCTTCAGCTCAAGGCTAGCGCTCTACCACTTGAGCCACAGTGCCACTGCTGGCTTTTTTCTTTTTGCTTATGTGGTGCTGAGGAATCGAACCCAGGGCCTCAGGTATGCTAGGCAAGCGCTCTACCACTGAGCCACCTTCCCAGCCCATCTTTCTTCTTTACTAAGCACCCTGAGAACAAAGCTTTATCCTTTTTGTGCATCTAGGAAAGCACGTTATTCAGATGACAATTGATATTTGTTTTTGGACTTGTGTGTATGTGTGTTGGTCCTGGGGGTTTGAACTTAGGGCCTGAGCACTGTCCCTGAGCTTTTGTGTTCAAAGCTAGCACTCTGCTACTCGAGCCACAGCTCCACTTCTGGCCTTTTGGTGGTTAATTGGAGATAAGAGTCTCAGAGACTCCTGCCCAAGCTGGACTTGAATCTCTGTCCTTAGATCTCAGCCTCCTGATTACAGGTGTGAGCCACCAGCGCCTGGTGACAGTTGATGTTTGGTATATTTGGTAAAGAGCCAGAAAAGTAGTAGTCTTTAACCCCTAACCTTTTTTTTTCTGGTCCCAGGGCTTGACCTCAGGCTTCTCACTTGGCTTTTTTATTCTATCACTTGAGCCATGCCGCCAGTCTGATTTTTTTCTAATTAATGAAGATAAAGTCTCACATACTTTTCTGCCAGGCTTACATTGCTACTCCTTCTGAGTTGCTGGGATTACAGGAGTGAGCCACTGGTGCCCAGTCTCTAGATCACTTCTTTTAAGGACTTGAAAAAGAATGAAGTGGGGGGAGAGCAGAGGAGTTCATAGAGTTGTGGTTTAAGGCTTTTATACCTTTTCTTAAAGCTTCTTGCATGCCCGGCTCCGGACAGCCACCCTGCGGCATGATGCCGATGGGCAAGCCACCCTATTGAACCTCCTGTTGCGAAATTACCTACACTACAGCTTGTACGACCAGGCCGAGAAGCTAGTGTCCAAGTCCGTGTTCCCTGAGCAAGCCAACAACAATGAGTGGGCCAGGTACCTCTACTACACAGGTGAGCAGAGGGCATGGTCCAGATAGCAGGTGTTTCACGCCCACTTGGTATAAACCTCGTAAGGGTTGATACATTTGGCATTCCAGTTCACCAAGGATTTCAATTCACCCACTCTACTTTTCCTCCACCTCCAGGGCGAATCAAAGCCATACAGCTGGAGTACTCAGAGGCCCGGAGAACCATGACCAATGCCCTTCGCAAAGCCCCTCAGCACACAGCCGTTGGCTTCAAACAGACGGTGAGCCAAAGTTAGCATCATCTCTTCACCTCTTCCTCATCTTGCCCATCTGATACTGCTGGAGTTCTGCTTTCCTGTTCAGGGGCTGGGAAGGGCTTGAGTAACCTGCCTTATCCCAGAGGCTGCTCTGACATGCTGTGCATGTCAGTGTCATGTGTGAGCACTTTCTGCACTTCTGGCAACTTAATATTCAGAGCATTCTCCTGGAGAGATGGGTTTTGAGCATCCCTGTTTCCCAGCACCACTGATTGTAGCTGTGGGACTGGATTATGCAGATTAACCCCAGGCTCTTAGATGCTCCCTCACATCCCCAGCTGGAATAGGTGCACATCACTGTGCTCCGAGCACAGACTCTGTACCCAGACTAGACTCAATCAAACCACAATCCTGTGATCCTACTACTATGTGGAATCTGGATGAAAGATCAAAGATCTTATAAAATTAATTTTGAACTGGTTCTTGAAAGTTGGACCAGGTGCAGGTGGCTCATGCCTATAATCATAGCTACTTAGGAGGCCAAGATCTGAGGGTTGCAGTTCGAAGCCAGCCTAGGCAGGAAAAGCCATGAGACTCTCATCTCCAATAAACCAGAAAAAGCCAGAAGTGGCACTGTGACTCAAGTAGTAGAGCACTAGCCTTGAGCAAAAGGAGCTCAGGGACAGCAACCAGGCTCTTGAGTCCAAGCCCCAGGCCCAGCAAAAGCCAAAAGAAAGTTTGATAGGATTTTCACAAAAAGACATGGCTTTTCAGACACATGGGGTATACAAGTGATAGATTACTTTTGGAGGCTGCTGGTATCTCTTGGGATGTGAATCCTTCCACTTCAAAGCCAGTAGTGAGAGACGGGGCCCTTGCATCACATCACCTCACTGCAACTTCTGCTTCCTTCTCCTGCCTCTTCTACTTGATCTCACCCATTATCTTAAGTTTCTATAACCAACTTATCATACTTTGACTAGGTGTGGTGGTATCTACTTGTAATCTCAGCACTTGGAAGGCTGAGGCGGAGGGTTGAGTTGGAGGCTCCTGGGCTGCATTCTGAGACCCATAGTCCTGAGCAGTGTATACAAACAAAAGTTTATTTCTCCCATTTCTAGAGTTTAGGAGGATCACTTAGGCCTAGGAGTTCAAGAGTAGCCTGGGCATAGCAAGACCTTGTCTTGAGGGAATGAAAAAGACTTCTCTCCCAGAATTATTCCAAGGAGCAAGGCAAGCTCATGGCTGAAGGTGGAAGGCTGAAGTCTTTGCCTAGCTGTAAACATGATCACACAGCCCTGTTTGCATCCCTCACCTCTAACAGTGAGAGCGTCTTGTGCTGCTCTGCCTCCTGCTTGGACATCGTCCCCTGTCCCCTGGCATAGTGCTGAACGCTGCTGGCCAACATACAAGGCCCACTTAGTGGACACCACTCAGAAACAACTCATAGTTTTCTAGAGGAGGAAAGTCCTGGTTTTCTAGCCACCTCCCTACAGAATGGAGGCCACTTTTCCCCCAGTACTAGGGTTTGAAATGAGGGCCTTACACTTGCTAAGCAGGCAGTATACTACTTGAGTCATGCCTCCAGCTCCCTCACCCCTACACATGCACATGCTTCACTTTCTTCCTCCACCTGTGGGACTCCATGTCCACTGTGCTCTCTCACCCCCTGTCCAGGTGCACAAGCTTCTGATTGTGGTGGAGCTGCTTCTCGGGGAGATCCCAGACCGGCTACAGTTCCGCCAGCCCTCCCTCAAGCGCTCACTCATGCCCTACTTCCTCCTCACCCAAGGTAGGCCTGTCCCCTCCCAGAGCCCTCCACTGTGGCCTCTGCTTGTGCCATGTGCATCAACTCACTAGCCTGTCCCCCACAGCTGTCAGAACAGGAAATCTAGCCAAGTTCAACCAGGTCCTGGATCAGTTTGGGGAGAAGTTTCAAGCGGATGGGACCTACACCCTAATTATCCGACTGCGACACAATGTGATTAAGACAGGTGCGGACCCGGGTCTGAGCAGGACCCAGGTGGGACTTCTCCTAGGGCTGGGGGTTAACCTTGTGGGGTACATGGGAAGTGAAGGCCCCCTGCCCACCCCAGTGCTCCTTCTTCTCCCAGGTGTGCGCATGATCAGCCTCTCCTATTCCCGAATCTCCCTGGCTGACATCGCCCAGAAGCTGCAGCTGGATAGTCCAGAAGACGCAGAGTTCATTGTCGCCAAGGTAGGGGCTGGGTCAGGGGCCAAGTGTGGGGAGAGATTGGGTAGAGGGGACTGGGGAGAGCAGTGTAAGGTCTCAGGAAGTGCAGGTCATTTGCAGCAAAGCCAGGAAGTAGCCAGAGAGGGTAGATGTGTGTAAGAGACAGAACAAGAGGTTCTCAGATCTAGAGGATGGACTTTCTTGTGACCCTTCCTCCCTGTGGGGGCCTGTAGGCCATCCGGGACGGCGTCATTGAGGCCAGCATCAACCACGAGAAGGGCTATGTCCAGTCCAAGGAGATGATTGATATCTATTCCACCCGGGAGCCCCAGCTGGCCTTCCATCAGCGCATTTCCTTCTGCCTGGACATCCACAACATGTCAGTCAAGGTGAGCAGCCCTTGCTGTGGTGTCAGGCTTGACAGTAAGTGTCCCTCCCCACATACCCCCAGACTTGGTTTGTGGCCCCATTCCCAGCCCATCTCTAAAATCACTGAAGGGCCAGACAGGTTCAGAGAGGACTCTGTCCAGGTCACAGCCAGCCTCTTGCTGGTGGGACTGCGATGGCTCCTAGTTTGGAAGGGATGTGGTCAGCAGGGAGGGATTCTGCTTGTCCACTGTGAAGCTGATGCCTGACTTGCTTGCTGGATGGATGAGATTAAATTGAAGTCACCTTGTAAAGGCATTTCTAAGCCCAAACCATATAAAATGTGGAGATGCACTCTGGTTTAAGCCCTCTCCTCTTCTAAGCACTGAGTTTGATGCTATTATTTGACCCCAGTGTTTTTGTTTTTGTTTTCCTGTCTCCTCCCAGTAAGCCAGAGGTGTTTGCCTTACTTAGATCTGCCAAAGCCACACTCAGCATGACATGCAAGGCACTGTATGAGCTGGTTCCCTCTTTCTCACATCGCCTCAAGCCAGGCCTTTTCACATGGGAACCCTTGGTCTGGAAGGCTTCTCCTCCATTTTTGGGGGGGGGAGGGGTGATCCGGTCGTGGGGCCTGAACTCTGGGCCTGGGCGCTGTCCCTTAGCTCTTCAGCTCAAGGCTAGCACTCTCCCACTTGAGCCACAGCGCCACTTCCGGCTTTTTTCTTTTTGTTTATGTGGTACTGAGGAATCGAACCCAGGGCCTCATTCATGCAAGGCAAGCACTCTACCACTGAGCTACCTTCCAAGCCCCTTCTCCTCCATTTCTTCCTCCCTTTCCTTCTCCCTGCCCAGTCAGGAGGGGCAGTCATTTGCCCCTTCCAGATTCTCATTCTTGCCCTACACTGTAACAACGAGCTTCCAAGCCAGCTCCTGCCATGCTCTCATGCAGTGGCTGGATGTGTTATGGACCCAGAAGGGGTGTGTTAACTGACTGCCCCTTCTCTGCTTCTTTCCTCCATCCTGCTGCCCTGCATTCCTACTGCTTCTCAGGCCATGCGGTTTCCTCCCAAATCATACAACAAGGACTTGGAGTCGGCAGAGGTGAGCCTCCTTGGGGCAAGATGGAAGGTTGACCTTCCATACAGAAAGGGAAGAGGGGAAGCATCTGGAGGGCCTGGAACTGTACCACATCCAAGCAGCCTCTGCCCTTGGGTGAGGGCATTAAGGGAGAGAGCCTGCCCAGCCCTCACCCCACTCTCTCTCTAGGAACGGCGTGAGCGAGAGCAGCAGGACTTGGAGTTTGCCAAGGAGATGGCAGAAGATGATGATGACAGCTTCCCTTGAGCTAGGGGGCTGGGGAGGGGTGGGGGTGAGTGGGGACCGGCTCTGTCTTTCCCATTTGGGCATTTGGGGCTCCCTTGCCTAGGGAACTGGCCCCCTTTTCCTCCACACAGCTCACAGACTGCATACATGCAGGGGTGAAGGGTGCTGGGAGCCGGCCACCCCACCTCACCCCAGTGCTCTTCTCCAGCCAGTGACTTGGCACACCACGGGCAGGAGGGTGGGCAGGCGGCCTCCAGGGCAGAGTCCTGCCTAGAGGTGTGGGCAGCAGAGGGGACGGACAGACCCATGGATTAGGGCCTGGAGTTGGGAAATGTTGGGTTGTATGTTTTCTGAAGCTTCAATTATGATTTTTAAACAATAAAAAGTTCTCCAAAGCTCTGTACATCTTGTCATTTGCTATACCTGGCTCTCTTGTAGCTACAATATTGACAGACCCAGATCTTTTTTTTTTTTTATGCCAGTACTAGGACTTGAACTCAGGGCCTTGGCACTGTTCCTGAGCTATTTTGCTCCAGACTAGCATTCATCACCTTCAGGGTTTTTGGTGGTTAACTGGATTTGAGAATCTCGACTTTCCTGCCTGGGCTGGCTTCGATCTAAGATCCTCAGATCTCAGCTAACATTACAGGTGTGATTTTCTCTTTTCTTTCTTGGTTTTTGAGTCCTAACCCCAAGTATGTTTTGAGGACCCAGTGGTGTCTGCCAAGAGAAAAGCCAAGGGAATGTGAACAGGCCTTCAACCTGGGTCTTAAGGGTAGGGTTTGCTCTTTACCTAACTGGCCCTCAGGCACTAGGCAGATCACCACACCTAGCCTCCTTTCACACATATGTCAAATACAGCAGGTGTCACCTAGTTCCTAAACCCACGAACCCTTCAAGAGGTTCGAAAAAGGGCAAGTTGTGACCCCAAGCAGTGTGCAGAACTGAACCAAGCGCGGGTAGGGTGGAGGCCGTGGCTTGGGAGATGGGCTGGCGGCTGACTAGAGATGGAGGTGGGAGGGCTCCCCTGTGCTCCAGGCCAACTCCAGCCATGGGGGAAGTGGGGAGAATATACCCACTCATGTCAGGGTCTGCCAGCTACAAATGATTGCTTCCCAGAGGGTCAGAATTACTCCTGCATTCTCTGGCTGACACTTAAAACACTGATATGCATGTTCTTTTTTTCTTGCCAGGCCCTAGCTCTTAGCTGAAACCCTGGTTTCTATCTCTCCCCCTGGCTCAATTTCACACATCCTCCGGGCTGCCCCTCACAGTGAGGGCTGTGTGTTCTGGGCAGAGGCACTCCCTGGATGCCTTGCATAGGAGGTGGCTGGTGGGCAAGTCTTCCTGGCCTGTTTGTCAGAGCTGGGCCTCGATGTCCTTGGCCTTCCCCAGTGCCTGCATGGCATATTTGGGTCTCCACAAGTCTTGTTAGGAAAGGCAAACATTGCTCACCAGCTGGATGCTGACAACCCATTCTCAGGCCTGTTAGATTTCTGTGATCTGGCTAATTTGGTTCTTGGAGGAAGCTGGTACAGGGGTATGTAATATTCTTGCTGCCCAACTCACTGAAGTTATCATTCTTAAAGTGATGTGTGCCAGTGTCTCAGACCCTTTCTTGGTTGGGAAGGTACATTTGTCATGGAGTTTGTCATGGATTTTCTAGTTCTAGCCTTCCTCAAATCTGTAGGTCATCTTTCTGACTACTCATTGTCTGGAAGTTTGGGTTTGTTTTGTTTCCTTATTCATACTCTTTTGGGGGGCTGGTATTGAGACTTGAACTCAGGAACTTGTACTCTTTTTTGTTGTTTTTTTTTTTAATTTATTTATTTTTATTTATTTATTTTTTTGGTCAGTCATGGGCCTGGGCGCTGTTCCTCAGCTCTTCAGCTCAAGGCTAGTGCTCTACCACTTGAGCCACAGCGCCACTTCCAGCTTTTTCTGCTTATGTGGTGCTGAGGAATCAAACCCAGGGCCTCATGCATGCAAGGCAAGCGCTCTACCACTGAGCCACATGTGAGTCTCTTATCCCCGATTTATCACACCCAAAACGCCAAAAGTGAAGTTGTGGTTCATGTGACTCAAGCACCTGGGCTCTGAGTTCAAGCCTCAGGACTGGCACAAAACAGAAAAACTAAACAGAACATTATCACACAATAATAATCATTTGGAAGGTTAATTTTTGTATTTCTAGTTCATGTTTGCTTTGTTTTTGCAGTGCTAGGGATTGAACCCAGAGCCTGGTGTATGCTACCTTCAAACTGTGATCCTCAGCTCTCAGCCTCCTGAGTAGCTAGGATTATAAACATGAGCCACCACTGGCACCCTGCTCTGTCATTTTTTGTTTTGTTTTTTGAGGCATGGTCTCCAACTCACAATCCTGCCTCCATCTTCCAAGGGCTTGGTGTTTTTCTTTTTGTTGTTGTTTTTGGTTTTGGGGGGTTTTTTTTGGTCGGTTGTGGGGCTTGAACTCTGGGCCTGAGTGCTGTCCTTCAGCTCTTCAGCTCAAGGCTAGTACTCTACCACTTGAGCTACAGCGCCACTTCCGGTTTTCTGGGGGTTTATTGGAGATAAGAGTTTCACGGACTTTCCTGCCTGGGCTGGCTTTGAGCCACGATCCTCAGATCTCAGCCTCCTGAGTAGCTAGGATTACAGGTGTGAGCTACCAGTGCCTCCTCAGATCTCAGCCTCCTGAGTAGCTAGGATTACAGGCGTGAGCCACCAGTGGCGGGCCCAAGGGCTTGGATTACAGGGATCCACCACCACACCCAGCTGTACAATGTATTTTAATCAACAAAGAAAACATTACAGATAAACTGGAAGTCCATGTTGTTTCCTCCCAGTAAGCAGCCACTCCCATTAGTTCTGTGGGTAGCCTTCCATGTTATGTTTTTGTGTATTTTCACTGCAAAATAGCATATTGAGTTTCTCAGTGTTTATAGATAGGGTGTCACCTAGAAGGAACTCAGTTACTTGGTATTGTTCAGAGATCTGAACATGTTGAAGTCCAGGCTCACCACTTGGAAAAATATTGAATATAAAGAATACAGCTCAGGGCTGGGAAGGTAGCTCCAGTGGTAGAGTGCTTGCCTCGCATGCATGAGGCCCTGGGTTTGATTCCTCAGCACCACATAAGCAGAAAAAGCCAGAAGTGGCACTGTGGCTCAAGTGGTAGAGCACTATCCTTGAGCTGAAGAGCTGAGGGACAGCACCCAGGCCCAGAGTTCAGACCCCACGACTGACCAAAAAAAAAAGAATACACCTGAGGAAAACCAGCCCCTTCCCTGTGGAGGCATCATTGGGGAGGGTGGGCTGGAGGCTGGCAAGAAGGTATATGTACTGGGAAGAGACCACCACATGGCCACTCGCTGCCAGAGGGCATTTACAACTGTTTCCACAGGTTTACAACTGCAAAGAACAGCAGCCCTGTTTGCGTATGTCACACAAACACTGTGCAGTCCTCCACCTAGAACTGTGAAGAACTCCTGTGGAGTCCATACATCAAACGCTTCAGTATCTCCACACATCCTCCCACCGCCATCTTTAAACTTCCACCGTTACAGTGCAAATGCTATGCAGATATTTAATATTTGTGTTGTATGTATGCACAGGGACCAGAAAAGTAATCTGTACATGTTCAGGATAGCCTAATGTCCCAATATTTTCCATCTGAAGTGGATGGAATCTCCAGATGCAGAGCTCAGGATATAGAGCAAGCTGAACATAGTTCAAACTCAAAGGGACCAGTTAGCATTTTTTTTTTATTTATTTATTTTACCAGTACCAGGGCTTGAACTCAGGGCCTCATGCGCTTGCTTAGCTTTCTTGCTCACAATTAGTGCTCTTCCACTTGAGCCCCATATAGTCAGGCACTAAGTTGGGCTTTTCAGTCCAGGCTGACTTCAAACTATAATTCTCCAGGCCTCAGCCTCCTGAGTAGCTAGATTTACAGGTATAAGTCACCAGTGTCCAGCTCAGACAGCAAATTATTTAAGCTTGTGGGGTCAAATAGTCTGTATTAACACCTCAAGTCTATCTAGCACAAAAAGCAGCTATAAACGGTATGTAAATGAATTCTTTTTGGACGCATGGATTTGAATTTTAAATGATTTTGCATGTTATAAAATATTCTTTTGATATTTTCCCTAACCATTTTAAAAATATATAAGCCATTCCTAACAGGGTGTATATAGCTCATCTCAAAGGCTCTCATCTGCTCTGAGAAGTAGAAGTCCTGAGCTCTTAGGCTGAGATCTGAAGATTGTGATTCTAAGCTAGCTTGAGCAGGAAAGGCTCCAGAAGACTTTTTATCTCCAATTAACCACTAAAAAGCTGGAAGTGGGGCTGTGGCTCAACTGGTAGAGTGGAATACTAGCCTTGAGCAAAAATGCTCAGGGATAGAGCAAGGTGCCAATGTCTCATGCCTGTAATTCTATCTCAGAAGGCTGAGATCTAAGGATCAAAGTTCAAAGTCAGGCTAGGCAAGAAAGTCTCATGAGACTCTTATCTCCAATTAACTGCTCAAAAACTGAAAGTGGCCTTGTGGCTCAAGGTGGTAAAGGTCTAGCCTTGAGCAAAAGAGCTCCAGGACCGTCCCGGCCCTGAGTTCAAGCCCCATGACAAAAAAAAAAAAAAAAAAAAGCCCTGGGTTCAAAAATGTGAGAATTTGTAAAGTTGGAACAGTGGGAGTCTCTGAAAGACCCTGTTTCTTTGTGGATCTTTTTGCCCTCTGAGCTTTTAGTCCAGTTCTGGCCCTGTGTGTCATAGAGATTGGTAATAAGTCTTTGTTCTCTGATCTTTATTCTTCCACAGGTGGGACTCAAGTCTGGATGGAGTGATTACCTGAGAGGCACCTGTCCCAGCAGCATTATGGGACAAACTACGTAGGAAGACTACCTACTCACAAACGCTGCCTGAGTAGCTCTGTGGCCCTGTTCAAGGCCTCCCCTCATCTACAATACAATAGCTGGTTGAAGGGATGAAATGACAGAAGCATAATGATCACACACACACACACACATATGAGGGTACCAAGAGGTACCAGTAGCTTCTTCCAGTATGCTTAAGAACATGAATCTCCTGCCCTCCAAGAACCTGGCATTCTGTTAAACACTTCTCTAATCTGAAGGAACTGGGTACTCACCTAGCTGAGACAGGCACTACTGGGGAAACAAGAAAAAATTATCAGGTGACGGGCCTGCCAGCAGTGGCCACCAGAGGGCACCCAAGCCCCAGTGATGCCCCACCCATACACATTCTCCTCCAGAAATGGCTCCTTCACGTGAGAAGTGGGTGGAGGTAAATTAGTTCAGAAAGTGACAACCTGGGGTGCGGTCAGTCAAAGGGAGGCCCCATGGCCTACGGCCCATAAAAAAATAAAAAATAAAAAATAAAAAAAACTCG